AAAGAAAGAAAGAAAGAAAGAAAGAAAGAAAGAAAGAAAGAAAGAAAGAAAGAAAGAAAGAATCTTCAAATCTTTTTTTCAGGGACTTTTATTTATTTTTATTTTTTGGCAGAACCGGGGATTGAACTCAGGCCCTTGCACTTGCCAGGGAAGTGCTTAGCCTACTGAGCCATCTCTTTGGCCCTTCAAACCTTTTGTGACCCACCATGAAAAGTTCACTCTGAGGTAGATACTGTCTGCAGAGCCTTCTCAATGAAAACTATGGAGGCTACCCGAGCTCAGTCTGAAGCCTGGAGCCATGGTCAACCAAGAAAGAAATGAGAAAAATAAACATTATAAAAACTACCATCAATATGCAGCATTATTATGGCAACAGCTAATAAAATGAGGCTTAAAAAAAAAAAAGTTTGACAGTACTTTGGAAAAAGATTCAAAGTAATGCTTAAAAGTATTCAAACAGCCCTGGGAAAGAAAGTACAACACATGTTTGTTAAGGTCTTCTGCTGTTCTCTGTAATTAAGTCACCATGTTCCTAAGTTGCATAAACACGGAATAAGTCACAGAGCACAAGGAAGCTAAAATGGAGTATTTTAATGTCACTTTCCTAATATAACCAGAGATACTCTGACCATGTACATCTTAGTCCTCTGACAGATAAGTGGCTGTTGTCTCCAGGTCAGGTATCGTCCCTTCCCAACGCTGCTATATAACAGGTCTAATGTGGGCTGCTGTTCCCATCCAATCCTTCTAGAGCAGGTAGTAATTGTAAGATGCCCCTGATTTAATAGCAGCTTTTGAGAATCAAGGGAAAAAAAAAAACTCAACACAAACTAAAGGTATTTAATACTGCTCTGCTCCTTTCATACTACACCTATTAAGCCAAGACGGAGTTGGCTAAGACACACAGACAATAATATTTAATCAGAAAATCATGTTACCTTCATCCATTTGCTTCCTGACATGCAAAAGCCAAATTAAAAATATTTAAATAGGAAACCAAATTAACTCCAATTCCCTTTCACCTTTGTTCTTCTGATGCATGCATAATTCATCAACATAACTACTAACCTGCTCTATCTAACTCATTTTTAACATCATGTACCCATTCAATACTACCTTTAGATCTTATCTTGGGTGAAGTACTACTTTAGGTATACAATAATAATCAAGAACCTATATGCCACTGTACTAACAAGTCAGGATATATGTCTCTGCTCCCCAGAATATCACAGCATAACCCACATTCCTCTCCCTAGTATAGTGAACAAGGAATAAATAAGACACACTGGTTACAACTGGCAAAGCTTAGATCTGCCTCTCTCTAGCCCCTTTCCAAACAACCCCATTTAACGCTAGCACAGTATGGAATCATGCTTCCTTGTAGAATACTATCAACTGAGTCTATATCGTAACAACCTTAACTAGACTAAGGTACTAAGATTCTTGAGCAGATCAGTATAATGTCCTTAGTATAAATATTAACATCCTTGCCACCTAATGAAAATGATTCAGACTCACAACACAGGATCTGCAATCTGAGAATCTAGTTGACAACACTCTAGGAGCGGTAGTACTCAAATTAAAATTTAGAGTATCTGGAAAACTTTAAAATTCTACTACCATCAGTTCAAGGCCAGCCTAAACTACACAGTGAGTCCCTGTATCACATACATACATACCACTGAAACTGCACTCTAATAATAGTCAAACTTGAGAGCTATCAACTTAAGAGGAAAACTGGCTGCTTTGCTACTACTGTATAGACCATGGGTATGCTGCCATGTCTTCCTCCTGTGAGCAGGGAACTTCCTGAACAAGATGCACTAAGATCTGCCACAGGCCTACTTGGTACTTAATACTTACAAGAAAGAGTTTCATAGCAGCCAGTCAAGCTTAGGAGAGAAGCACAAAACTAAACATATGAAGGAAAATATATCCAAAACTGAGTATCAGAAAGAAACTAAAGGGGCTGGGGAAATGGCTGAGTGAAATAAGCGCTTCCCTGGCAAGCACAAGGGCGTGAGCTCAATCCCAGGTTCTGCCAAAAAAAAAGAAAAATCTTATTCCAAAACTTTTTAGAAACTGATGTTCTGTAAAAGTCAAGTTCCCAATCCTAAATACCTGAAAAGTAAGAGGCGGAGGGAAAATAACAACCTTCAGGCTGACTTGTGAGGGTTTTTGTTTAATACATCTGAAAAGAATGCATATACAAAGATTGAGACATGAGAAAGCATTGGTTCAACACTAATGAAATCTACAAGAATTAGGATTTGGGGAAGGTGAAAAATTACCTTAACATTTATTAAAAACTGGAAACTGCAACAAAAATAAGCTGATAAAGTCCCTATTAACACTAGGAGTCTTCAAAAGACTCCTCTCATGATTTTTATTAAACTAGAGAGCCTCAACCAGTTGCTATAAGGTTCCTCGTATGGAAAACAGAAATAAGGGGATCCCCCTAGCTGGTCCCCATGGTGTTAAGTATTCTCCCCACCCCTGCCCACCCATAGCTTCTTAGTGAAGCAGGCTTGCATCCTCAAGACCTGAAAGAGGATGCCAATTATCCCATAGGCATCTGTCTTGTAGCACCACCC